AACGAGGGAGGGTTTTCAGCAGAGGGCTGACATGTTGTTGCAATAGGATCCCTCTGGCAGATGTTTCGAGTACAGACTGCAGGGGCCAAGGGGGTTAGCAGGGAGGTCACTGAGGATGCCAGGTGACACAGGGGAAGGAGGTTGGACAGACACTGTTAAGTAATGCCTGTGGGGACAGAACAGTTTGACCCCTCCAAACAGACTGACTGCCGGTGGCCATCTGGTGGCGTTCCACCAAAGGGATGCTAGCCTTGTGTGGTTGTGGCTGGAAACCCAGTAGGGCTTGATTAGTGATCACAGGAAGGGAGGTTTATGGTTCCCTTGAGTAGGTCCAACACTTGTGCTGTTCTGGGTGGGGACCATGTCTGGCTCGTTCCTCACCGTGGGGCCTGCCAATAACAGTAAGCACAAGAGTATTCATGATAGATTAGTGACCGTATTAGTAATAATGTTAGTAACCGTAATGATATGAGTCATGGCAATTGTGTTATTAGTCTTTGATTACACAGAAGCACATAGTAGTTGCCATTTACTGAGCAAGCGCTGTATACTGGTCCTAAGAACTTGGCATTGAATCTTCACAGTTAGGTAGGGACCATCGTTAACACCAGGGTATATATGATAACAGTGAGACTCAGAGAGGTTGAGAAAACGCCCAGGGGCCACGTGCAGTGGCCAATTCTGGTTCCGGATTTCTGTCCCTAGGGAAAGCCATGCTAATGCCTACTTCTTTCTCACCTGTCCAGGTACACCTCCAGGTCCCGCTGCTACTCGGAGACCCCCTCATCTTTTCTGCGCTGGCTGAGTCAGCAGACGCGCTGGTCCAAGTCGTATTTCCGCGAGTGGCTATACAACGCGCTGTGGTGGCACCGGCATCATGCGTGGATGACCTACGAGGCGGTGGTCTCGGGACTCTTCCCCTTTTTCGTGGCGGCCACAGTGCTGCGGCTTTTCTACGCGGGCCGCCCGTGGGCGCTGCTGTGGGTGCTGCTCTGTGTGCAGGGAGTGGCGCTGGCCAAGGCGGCCTTCGCCGCCTGGCTGCGTGGCTGCGCGCGCATGCTGCTGCTCTCACTCTACGCGCCCCTCTACATGGGAGGCCTCCTGCCTGCCAAGTTCCTGGCGCTGGCCACCATGAACCAGAGTGGCTGGGGCACCTCAGGCCGGAGGAAGCTGGCCGCCAACTATGTCCCTATGCTGCCGCTGGCCCTGTGGGCGTTGTTGCTGCTCGGGGGCCTGGTGCGCAGTGTGGTGCACGAGGCCAGAGCCGACTGGAGTGGCCAGTCCAGGATTGCCGAGGCCTACCACCTGGCGGCTGGGGCCGGCGCCTACGTTGGGTACTGGGTGCTCATGCTCACGTTCTACTGGGTGGGCGTGAGGAGGCTCTGCCGGCGGCGGGCCGGGGGCTACCGCGTCCAGGTATGAGTTCTGGTGCGCGGGTGCTGACACACGGGTCTTCACGGGAGACAAGAAACGAATCAGGTCCCAGGACTGACGAACTTAAGGGTAAACTCTCTGGACCTCAGTTTCCCTCCTCTATGAAGTAAGGGGGGTCAACTCAAGATTCTTCAGCCTGGACTATTTTGGGGCTGGGAATTCTGGGTCTCTGGGGAGGGGTATTTATTGATCAGCGTGTGGATTTTTAGAGGTAGGGGGAAGGGGTCCCCATTTTCTCCCTGCTCTTATTTAATCTCCATTTGTACTGTGTGATTAGGATATAATAAAGAATTTTATTTATTTTCTTCTGAGCCTCTCCACCCTTTTTTTTTTTTCAATGGAGGGGGTTTTATGGTTGAGAACTGGGGACTCCTGGCTCAGTCTGGGGTTCCAGGCATTTGAAAGTAGACAGGATACCCTCCTCCCTCCGTTCTCTCAAGAAAATGAGAGTATTAATCCTGTGGGTCAGGGGGTCAGGGTTGTTGTGAGGGTGGAACTTCTCAACTCCTCACTCAGTTACTAACGGAGCCTCCACTGCAATCGGACTCAGTATGTGGATGGGGTTTTCCTGGTCCACTCCAAAGAAGGGTAACTCGTACCTTCTCTCCTCAAACCCCCAGCACCTCCTCTCCCAGCCTCAGTTGATCTCACTGAGAAAACAGAAGTGACAAGAAGAAAACCTTCCAAGGCCCCACCTCCATGATCCTCACTCATCTGCACCTGAGCCCACACAGGCCACCTTCCCTCATTACTGAGGGTGAACTGTCTGTGCTCAGCGCCAACCCCTTCCACTTGACATGCTTTCTTCACTTGGCTTTCAGAATGCCCGTGATCATGCTTTCTATTTTCTTCCTGGGTTCCTCTTCATGTTGCCCACTGCTTAACATCAGGGAAACTTGTCTTCCTATCCGCCTACACTCATTTCCTCTGTACACCCAGTATTATGGTGCTGAATACCTCATTCGTGCTCCATGTGGGGAGAAGGGACTCAATTTTTTCATCCTCGGATGAGAACACGTGCCTGAATTCCAGACTTGAATACCAAATTGCCGCCAAGACATTTCCACGTGGCTATTGAACAACCTGATTCAGCTCCTGATCTGTGCTCCCCATCCTTCTCTTCCATCTCTGTGAAACCTCTTGCAGGTCTCCACACCTCAGTAAACAGAACTCCAACCTGCCAGCTGCTCAGGCCAAATATGCTCGAGCTGCACTGTTTACAACAGTAGCCACTACTGCATGAGACCGTTCCATTTTTTTCCATTCATTCACTTTTTGATTCAGTCTCAAAAAACATTTACCAAGCATCTATTGAATTCCACACCCTTGGCCAGTTTTGCAAATAGTAAAATAGACAAAGGGCCAGCGTCAGCCTTCCAGGAGCTCTTAGTTAAGGAAACAGAGTGTGAACAACAGTTAAAAGATACCCAGACACTTGCCTCTGTGATGTGTTGTTCAGAGGAAGGGTGATTTAGATGTTATTGTTAAAACTATAGAAAAGACTATACATTCAGTTCCTCAGTTGCACTGGGGCCACATTTCATATGCTTCAGGGCTACGTGTGCTGGAGGCTGCCACACTAGACGTTGCAGATCTATTCTAGAACATTTCCATAGCAGAGGGTTCTACTAGACATCATTGTTGCCTTGACCATTGATCTTTGACTCTTCTCTCTATCTCCTATTCAACATTCTGATTCAATAGCAAATCCTACTGGTTCTCTCTTCAGGATGGATCTTGGAACTATTTCTTACCTTCACCGTCACCACTTTGTCCCCAAGCTGCATCTCTTTCCTGGCCCAAAGCTGCTATTTTATGCCTGGATCACTGCCTCCCCCTCTTGCTCCCAGATTCTGCTATCCATATAGTGCCCATCAAATCAAATTATGACTTTCCTGTGTTAAAAACCACCCATGAGCTCAGAGGAAAATCCAGACCTTACGGTGGCCAAGGTTCTGCGTGACCTGGAGCCCTGTGCTCTCCATGACCTCACCACATACTCATTTCCTAAAGCCCTGTACCAGCTGCACTGCCAGTCCCCACATTCCTCCGCTGCCACACACACAACCAGGCACACTCCTGACTTAGGGCTTTGCTTCTCCATTTCTTTTGCTGGAACAGTCATAACACAAATACCCAGATGGGGAGAACTGGGGTGGGTGGAGGTGGAAGAGTGTGTGGGGAGATAAATGGTAATTAAAAAAAAAGCTGTGTCTTAGTCCTGGCCAGGTAGCTCAGCTGGTTAGAGCATCGTCCATATATGCCAAGGTTGCGGGTTCGATCCCCATCAGGACACATACAAGAATCAACCATGAATGCATAAGTAAGTGGAACAGATCAATATTTCTCTCTCTCAAATCAATAAGTAAAAAAAGACCTACATGGCTTAGATCTCACCCCCTTTTTAATTTTACTATTATTTTTAAAGTCCTCACCCAGGGATGTTTAGTGATTTAAGAGAGAAACATTGACGTGAAAGAGAAACATCTATCTGTTGCCTCTTGTACAAGACCCAGATGGAGATCAAACCCACAACCTAGGTATGCGCCCTGACTGGGGATTGAACCTATAACCTTTTGGTGTATTGGAAGACGCTCCAAAGCTCCAACCGACTGAGTCATCTGGCCGGGGCTCACCCCCTTCTTTATTTAAATGTGAGGCCTTCTTCAAAGCTCCTCTTGCTCCCTTCATCCCCTCAAACCTTTCCCATCTCAGTTTCCCTGCTTTCACTTCTCCATCGCACATGTTATTATATGACCTAATGCCTGTTATCTTGCTTCATTTTCTTGTTTATAGGTGGACTGCCCACTGGCATCTAAACTCTACGAGGGTGCAGATTTTCATCCGTTCTGATTTCTTCACTGCTATTTCGACAGCACCGTGGAAACGCCTGGTGTAAACACTCAGTAAATATTCGGAGTGAATGAAGACATCGGTGAATGAGAATGAGTACATGCCCAGAGGGAGTGTATCTTTTAGGTGGGGAGGACACAAAACTAAATAAAAAAAATAAGTTCACATTAGGTGCAAGTGCATGAATGTGCTGAAACAGGGCGATAAGCTGGGACCTGTGCAATGAGGTAGAGTCATTTTAAGTACAAGGAACAGCACGTGCAAAGGCCTCCGGGTGGGACTAGAGAGTAAAGGAGGAGGGATGGATGAGATGGAGGTGGAATCAGGCCAATAAATTCAGTGCTGGCTGCACAGAGTTGTCATGGGAATTAGTTAATACAAGTAAAGGTTGTTCAGGGGAATTCATAACTGAGTTAACTGGACAAAAAAGGGAGAAAACGTTATTTTAGGCAGGAAACAGCAGGAGCCAGGTCCTAGAAAGGGTGAGAAGAATCACGATTAGGGTGTCTTCTGCAGCTGGAAATGTCAAAGAGGCTGCTAGAAATCTGGGGAGCGGTCTGGGCTTGCACTTCAATCCCTCAACACAGGGCCTGAACTGTGACAGCTCATATCACTGTCATTGTGGAAGCACAGACCTCTGGGCACATTTGGGGTATGCTGCCCCTGCCCCTACCAACATTGGAAATAACCACCTTCAAAGATGAAACCATCTGTACAGCTAAAATACATTCTTTATTTTAGGAATGGAGATAGGATAGGGAAGAGAAAGATACCTTTATTAGTTGCCACTGAAGTACCATCGAAAGAACATCCTGGGGAAATAAAATGTGTGTGGGGGAGATAAGTTGGGGAGCAGATACTTGAGTCATGGTGGATAGGGGCCTGGACTCCAGGGTCTGAGGGAGGAAGGGCTGGGGGGCTGGACTCATGGGTTTGCGGGAGTGGGGACTGGGGGGAGGGGCTTGGACTCCTGGGTTTGAGGGAGGAGGGGCCGGGGACCTGCACTCCCAGGTTTGTGGGAGGACGAGTTGGGGGCTGGACTCCTGGGTCTGTAAAACGAGGGGGCTAGACACCCGGGTTGGAAGAAGGAGAGCGCCAGATGCTGGGAGCCGGGGTCTTGGGAACTCACCACGCCAGCAGGGTCACACCGGCTGAAGCAAAGGCGGCGGCGGCCGCGAGCAGGCACTGGTTGCTCAGTGTCAGAGCCCCAGGCTTGGCCAGCAGCTCGCCCAGGCTAGGCCTCCAGTGTTCGATCGTCTCCCGCGGCGCCCAACGAAGCACTTCCCGAAATAAGACCTGGAGCTCAGTTTCCCCACGCGGAGGCGGACCAGTCACTGCGGGGACGCGCACGTCAGCGGGACGCAAGCTCCGCCCCCGGCAGACCAGTCTTCCGCGCATCCCCATCCGCACCATTAAGAAAGAAGTACAGTCGCGCCAGGGGGCGCTGATCGTGCGAGATCACGCACGAGAAGGTCCCGTGGTGCGTTGGCTGCACGGGCCGGATCCGGGCCAGGTATCCATGGGCCCGCCGCATCTCTCGGAAGAAGGCCAGGTCCTGGGTCCGGACCTACGGAACACTTTGGCTGAAGCGGCAGCAGGAGCAGGGCCGACCTAAACCCAGGTCAGACTCTCTGGGCTGGGACTCACTACCCTTAAAGCACTAGCCCCGCCCCCGATCAAGCCACGCCTTCGGGTCTCTGCTCTCACTCGTCGTTTGTGCATAGCTCCGCCTCCTAAATCTTGACCCCGCCCCCTGGGACCTAAAACTTGCTCACGCTCCCTAAACCATTATGCAAAATCCCCATGCCCGGATCCTGCACCGTGAGCGGAGATCCCTCCCCTAAATGCCGGGATCCCCTTCTAGCACGAAGCCTGAAATCCTACCGAGCTCCCGCTAGCCTCACCCCTGCGTCCTGACTCATCCTCTAGGAAGCCTAACCCGCCTCCTAAACCCCTCACACTGGCCACGCCCCGACTCACACCTCCTCCTGCGAACTTCCAGGAATAGGTGATCTCCTCCTTTGGCAACTGGAAGTTCACCGTGCAAGAGAACATAGCCTGATCTCCCCGATTCACTGTCACGTCCTGAACTGGAGACGAGCCCGCGTCACCCCTGGGCCCCGTCCCAGACCACGTCCCTCCCCCATCTCAGCTCTCTTTTTCTCCAGTGCCTCTGGTTCCTACCCTTGCAGGCCCCGCCCCTCACCTGGGCAGTCCAGCGGGAGGTCGCAAACCGTGGAGTAGCACCCGTGGCAGCGGAAACGCCGGGAGAGCTCCTGGAGTCCTGCGGGCGGGAACGAAGGGCGTGGGCTCTACTTGGCCTTCCCCAGCCCGGGTCCCTCGGTCCCTTAGGGTCTTGTGAGCCTCCCTGGGTTCCACCAGCCAGACTCTGGTCCCCGCCTTCCCTGCGCTCATTGGCTGACTCTCACTTCTCTCCAGACTCTAAGATTTTTATTGGCTTGCTTTGGTTTTGGGATCCACCCTTTATGATGTTTGTGAGCAATGCCTGCTTGACTTTTCTCCTGGGTTTACCGGCCTCTTTCGTGTTTGAGACCCAACCCTTCAGTCTCACTCGAAGTCCGTTGTTTCCGGCCTGACCTCGTCCCTTACTCCCGCCAATTCTGAGCTTTGAATGACGTTCTTACCGCAGGGAGGGATGCAGGCCGGGACTGTGGAGAGATAGGAAGCGTTACTACCCTGGAAGCGTAGGGAGGTGCCCACCTGAAGCTCCGTCTGCCTTCCTCGGAGGGGGTGGGACCAGGCCTGTTGTATTCCACCTGGGGATCCGACCCGGCCTGCAGAATTCCACTTAAAGGTCAGGCATAAGTTTGCTGATGGCCATCTAAGGGCCGGAGGCCCGCAATAAGGAGCCGGGGCCGGCCTTGGTATATTCCACCGAGAGGACGGGGCTAGACCCTCGGCGATTCTCGGGGCCCCAGTTAGAGGTGTGTCCAGGCCTAAAGTAAGTAGCCCATTCTAAGAGAGTGCTCAGGGCCAGAGCCAGAGATCCCGGAAAAGACCTGGGGTAACCTGGGACACGAGGGGGCCTAGAAGGACCCTCGCTGGGGAGAAACCTCAGATCGAAGGGGCGGGGCCACATGCCGAGCGGCCCACTAGGGGGAAAGAAGAGCCTGCATCCCACCGAAGGAAAGCGGTTCAGAGATCCACCAGGGGATTGGCCTGAAGGGAGCGGGTGGCCGTTTTAGGGCTCGGATTTCCTAATTGTGTGTGTACGTGCGGGAAGGAGATGGAATCTAGTTTACCTTCTTTAAGCTGTGTAATGACCTTCCGCATTTGGTCCGCGGCATCAAGGAAGGCCACCTCAAAGGACCCTGGAGGTGGAGGGGGGCCTTGTGGTGAGGACGCTCCTCCTACGCCCCCCCCACCTCGCCCCGCCTCCTCCCTACTTGCCCGGGCGAGCTCTACTGGCCTCCTTGTCATGGTGTCTGTGTCCCTTCCCCAGCCCCTCTCTCCCCTGATATCTCCGGTATATACAGCATCTCTTCTTACCTCCTCCCACCCTACCAGGAAGGCTGACAAATCCCCAATCTCCTTCCTTCTGCCTCCTGACCCTCTCTCCGATGGAAGTCCTTCTCTGTATTATCTGTGTTTACCTTGTTAAGGGGAAAGGAAAGGATAAAGATCAAATTCCTCACCGAGGTTACCTAGGTGCCGCCGTTTCCTTTCACTCTAATCTATTCCTCGTCCATATTTCACTTCTAACTGGAAAAGCAACGTTTTCTCTGGCACCTCAGGGCCTTTGTACATGCTGGCTTCTGTTTCTAGTACCTCTTTACCCCCTTCCTATTCATCCTTCATGTCATGTCTTATATAGGCAGTGCGTACATATGCGTACATACATGGGCAGTGGTGACTCTCATAAGTGTGTTATAAACGGGTTTGAGCGTTCATGAGCTTGTGTTATATCTTGTGCCATCTACTTAGAGGTTTTTCATGACCACAAATCTAACTTAATCGAGTTCTGTTTTTGTCTTAGTCCCCCATTCATTGCCTCAGAGCTCTCTTCAGTTTGTAATTATTTACTTTATATATATGGTGATCATTTAAAGTCATTCTCTTAAGTAAACATACCCTTCTTTACTGCTGTGTCCCCAGAACCCAGGAGCAGGCCCCGAGTCTCAGAAAGTGCTCAGTAATTATGTATAAAGATCCAGTATCCTACTGGGATGGAGACTACAACTCATGGTGGCCTGTGGCCCAAGCCTATCACTTGGATGTGTGATGTTTAGTCTGGAAAGTGTTAGAATAAAAAGTGACCCAGTTACCATTTGTAAAATTGAGAAAGTCACAGAGAATGTTTGGCATCTATTTTTTTTTTTAAATTGGAGCCCTGGCCGGTATAGCTCAGTGGACTGAGTGCTAGCCTGCGAACTGAAAGGTCACTGGTTTGATTCCCAGTCAGAGCACATGCCTGGACTGCAAGCAGGGTCCCCAGTTGGGGGCATGCAACTGACAGATGTTTCTCTCCCTTTCATCCTCTCTAAAAATTAAAAAAAAAAAATGGAAGAGCTGTAACACAGATATAGAATTTCCATGAGGCTACAATTAGCTGGAGTTTAGAAACAGCCACCCTTTTTAATCAGCGCATCTATCTGCCACCTCTCCATAGTCCCCACCTCAATTCATTTCTACTCTTCTGTCATTCTTTCATTTATGGGTGTTTTGAGTTTTGACCATTGTAAGGGCTTCTAAACTGCAAGGTTTTGTGACATTTTCCAAAGTGGATGGCTGGATTGATTTAGTGGTAGTTGTTGTTCTGGAAACCAGGAATGTGGAAATCAGTTTAGGCTAAACTGTTCCTCCCAAATTGTATGTTTCAGTCCTAACCCCCAGTACTTCAGAATCTAACTGTACTTAGCTAATTAAAATAACATATCATTAGGGTGGGTCCTAATCCAATATGACAGATTTCCTTATAAGAGATTCACAGAAAAGGCCATGTGAAGACAGAGAGAGATGGTCAACCAAAACCAAGGAGAGAGGCCTCAGAAGAAACTAACCCTGCTGACACCGACACCTTGGTCTTGGACTTCCATCTTCTAGAATTGAGAAAAAAATAAGTTTCTGTTGTTTAAGCCACCCAGTCTCTGGTAGTTACAGCAGCTTCAGCAAACTAATACGTAGAGATTGCCAGTGCCCTCCAAATATCTTTCTCTTTAGTAACAAAACACTTTATTTTGGCCAGAAAAACACCCTTAGCAAAGACTACATTTCTTAGCTTCCCTTGCAGCTAGCTGCAATCATGTGACCTAGTTATGGTCACGTGACCAAAGTCCTGGCTATGGAGATACAAGTGGAAGTGTCTTCTGAGAATCACAGGAAGTAGCCTTAAAGTGGTGCCATCTTATCCATTCCTTTCCCTTATTCTATCCTGTTGCCTGAAACCTGTATTTGATGGCTGGAGCTCTCAGTCACATAAGACCCAGAGACAAAGGGTATACCCTGGGATGGCAGAGCAGAAAGCTGGATGTTGGGTTCCCAAGAAAATGGAGCTGTCTCATTAGGCGTAAGAGCCCATGCCAAGCCTTATTTCACCTGGGAGAAAAAAACTTCTCACTTGCTTCAGCCATCACAGGCCCCCTGTGATGTACAACCATACCTAAAGGGAGTGAATGGAAGATACTGGCAAGCGGCTGAAGTGATGATCACTGGGTATAAGCGGGAGAGAGGGGCACCGAAGCCAGGAAGTGGGTTCAAAATGAAGAGTTAGGGACTTAGAGGTCTCTTCTTGGCCACAGAACAGGCATGTGGTCTGGAGATGGCAGGATGATCAGGAGGATGTGGTCAGAGTGGGATGCTCAAATGAAAGGCCAGGATGTTGGAGGAGTCATCTAAGAAATATCTATGGGCCAAACCAAGTGATTCACGGTGAGGGTGAGCGTAGGACATACCAAGTGAGCCAGGAGACTGGGGTGCTCTGTCAATCAAACTAGGGGAGATGGAGTGAAATGTGCAGAGGTCAAGGATCAGGAAAAATACCAAGGGAACCACGAAGTGGTGCAGATTGACATTGTGAAGTCTCTCAAAAGAGGTGCCTATGGTTAAGAGCTCCAAATGTTTCCGAAGATCTGGGGTTGAGTCCTGGCTCTTCCATGTATGAGCATACCTGACTCACATCTGAGATATCCATCACAAGACCTCCCCCCACCCCCACCCCCCTGCATGATTTTGGCCACATTCCTTAACCTTCTTGATCCTCAGTTTCCTCATTTATTAAATGGGGACAATATCAGTGTCTACTTCACAGGGTTGGGGGCACATTTAATACCATACCACATAAAAGCATCCCCACCCCAAATTACGTGCCAGGTAACATTCAATGACTGCATGAGATAATGTCTGTAACTGCTCAGAATGGTGCCTGGCACACAGTGAGTGTTATAGAAGAATCACTCCCAAGTTTGAGATGGGGAAACAGAGGCATGGAGAAGGTAGGACAGTGGCCCGATCGGGCTCCTGGGCTCCATGTGTGACCGGTGCCTGGGGCATACTGCCTTCCTCTCTATATCACACTACCCACTCCACAGTTCATGTACACAAACAGTATCACCTGCCACTGTTGAGATCCACTCTAAGGCAGCATGCCCCTCTCTCGGACTCTCCATCTGGGCGAGACCCAGAAGCCAAAATTGCTTCTTTTATTGCCCTTACCCCACATACGTCCTGTCCAGGTATCTCCTGGGCCCGTTCTCCCTGTCCAGCTGAGCCTCAACTTCCCCATCTGGAAAATGGGGCTCTAACACCCCACTTCACAGGGCTGGTATGAGGATATCCTTTAGAAAGATAATTAACACAAATAATTGTCTGGCAGACACAGCCTCTCCCATGGACGGAGCAGGTGTAGCACGTGGTCAAATCCTGGACCTTCCTTCTCCATCAAGGTGCCCCACCTCCCTCAGTTCAGACTCATCTTGGTCCATCTGGACCACTGGGACTGGTCTGAGCCGCCACTAGTCTCCCTGCTTCTGCCCTTGTCCCACATGGCCTTAGTCACATCCTGTCTCTTTCTCCTTAAAATCCTCCAATGTCTCCCCCCATCTCAAGGTCACAGTCAGTCTAACATGTTGTCAACATGTGTTCCAGGAATGGAAGCAGCATCACCTGGGAACTTGTTAGAAACAAGTCTGGGCCATACCTCAGACCTACTGGTCAGAAATGGAGGGTTAGGCCCAGGATTCTGCATTTTAACAAGCTCCTGAGAGATTCTGAAGGTACGTACACTGGGGTTCAAGGACCACTGGCCTACAAAGTCCTACAGGATGTGGCCCCTTGCTGCCTCTGATTTCATCTCATCTCGATTTCACCCTCAGTGCTGCCCCTCCAGCCCCACTGGCCCCAGGGCCTTTGCTCTGGCTCTCCCGTGTTTGGAATGCTTTCCCCCCAGACTCTCTGCAAGGCCCTCACTGTCACGTTGTTCAGGTATTTGCTCAGTTGGACATCCTCATTTGGGCCTCTCCTGACCAACCTGTTTAGAATGATCACCCCACTGGCTCATTCCCTTGCCCTTTTGTCTTCCTTCATTGCACTGTTCACCAATTGATGTATTGTACCACAGTATTTCATTGATTATGTTTATTGTCGGTCCCACCCTCTGCAATATAAGCAACCTGAGGGCAGGTGGTTTTCAGTTCTGGTCACAGCTGTGTCCTCAATGTTGTTCCTGACACATTAAATAAATCTCTGTTGAACGTATTGCACCCGCTGCTCCTGGCCTCCAGTCAGTCCTCCACAGGGCCCCAGGGGATCTTTCTACACTCAGAGCTCACCCTGTCCTTCCCCTGCCCACAGGACTGAGTCTCAAGTCTCTAACCTTTCAGCTGAACTCTGGACCCATGAATCTAGCTACTTTCTGGATGTCCCCCTTAAGAGTCCCTGGGTTGTAGCCCAGCTTGTCATCTACCCCTGCTTTCCCCCCCAGGACCCCCATCTCAGGGATGACCCACCACCCACCCAGAGGTGGAGCCAAACCCTAGGCACTGTCCTCTAAGCCTCCTCTGCCCCTCCCCAAACTGCCCATCAGACCCAAGCCTCATCTGTCCTGCCCTCGACTCTCTCAGATCCATCACCTCATCTCCATCTTCACAGGCCCCACCCCAGGTCAGGCCTCCTAGCCTCCACTCTCTCCCTACTCCAGACTGTCCCATACACAGCCCCAGATGACACTTGTTCCCTTCTTTTCAAAACCTTCTGGGACATTGCCCTTGTAGGGGAGGGAAGGGCATTTTTTTGGGTCCTGCACCACCCTCCACAGCTGGCTCTGAGTTCTTCAAGTCTTCTTGGGGGTGGGGGGATCACAGCTGAAGTCTTCTTCATGCTGGACCCCTGGAGACCTGCTGGATGGATGGAAACTTCCCTGTCTTTGGGGATCTTTGTCAAAATGCTTGGTGGGCAAAAGCAGGAAACAAGAAGTAATGGTAGATGTAGAAATGACCTGTGAGTAGCCCTGGCCAAGTAGCTCAGTTTGTTAGAGCATTGTCCCAAGGTTTTTGGTTTGATCCCCAGTCAGGGGTCAAGCAACCACTGAATGGATAAATAAGTGTAACAACAAATCAATGTCTCTTTCTAAGGTTAATTAAAAAAACCCCAAAAAACCAACAACACTGCCCTGGCTGGTGTGTCTCTGTGGAGAGAGCGCCGGCCTGCAAACAAAAGGGTCACTGGTTCCATTCCCAGTCAGGGCACATGCCTGGGTTGCAGGCCAGGTCACCAGCGGGGGGCGTGTGAGAGGCAACCACACACTGATGTTTCTCTCCCTCTTTCTGCCCCCCCTTCCCCTCTGTCTAAAAGTAAAATAAAGAAAATCTTTAAAAAAATTAGGAAAAAACCAAAACAACAAGAACCCATAAGCTTCCGGATCTCTGAGGCGAGTTTGTACTACCCAACAGAGCTCTAGACTCCCTTCCTCCCAGCAGTTCCAGGCTCTGGCATGAGGACTACATGACTATGAGGTCATCTCGTCAGGGGGCCCCTCCCCCTCACTAAGTTCCAAAGCCATCTTGGTAGGCAGGGAGACTGTCCTGCCTTACAAGTAGGTAAGGTGAGGTAGAGAAGGAGGCAGTGACATGTCTAGAACTTCATAATCAGGAAAAGCTGCACAGCGAGGTCGGAACTCCTACCTGATCCCAAATGGCTTCAGATCGTAGGTTTTTCTGTACTGTCCCTTTCCCTCCTGCCATCATGTCCTGACAAGGGACTGGCTACCTACTGCCATCTGCGCCTAGGTCACTGCCACGTTCCAGGGACGCACATATCCCGCGCACACACCCATGTCTCAGGGGCTCCAAGCCCACATCTCCCACTGCCGCCATCCCCACCCACTCACCCTGGGCAGTGGCCACCTCTTGGAGGGAGTGGGTCATCTGGGTGAAGGAGTCGTGCAGGTGGCTTCTCTCGTCATAGTCTGGGAGTGGGCGGGGGCAGAAGCTGAGGGAAGCAGCCCCCGCTCCCACCTATGGACATTCTGTCTCCAAGACATTGTCTATGTCTGAGTCTCTGGCCAACCATGTTTAAATCCTTGTCCTTCTGAGCCTGTCCCCCGAGTCTCTGGCCCTCCTAGTCTTTATTGTCCCCTCTCTGAGTCTCTGTTCCCTACTCTCTCCCCCTGTGCCTGAGTGTGTCCCTCAGTCTCTCTTCTCCTGCCCTGTCTTCCTCCTCCTGTGCCCGTCTCCTCTGAGTCTGTCCCTCAGTCTCCTTCCTCCTGTCCCTGAATCTGTTTCTCAGTCTCTCTTCTCCTGTGCCTCTGACTCTGTCCTCTCTCTCTATCCTTCTGTCTCTGAGTCTCTGCACCCCCTCCCAGTCTCTGTGGTCCTGTTTCTTTGAGTCTATGTCCTCCATCTCTGTCTACTGGTCTGTTGTCTCCTTCCTGGGTCTCTCCAGACCTCTCTGGTCTCTCCCTCCACACACCCCCAGTGCCCTGGAGGATGTGGTGGGGTCTCCTCACTGATTTCGGTGTCCTGGAGGCGCTGAAAGGCAGCTGTGAACGCCTCCTCACACTTCTTGAGCTTGGGGCCCTCCATGCCCACGAAGGTCTGGCAGACAAGGAGGCGCTCACTGTAGGATGTGAAGCAGAAGAGGCAGGCCCAGGTGGGTGCCCCAAAGACTGTGAGGGCCATCATGGCGCACGGGACAGCATTTGCTGGAGCCAACTGGACCATTGCAAAGGGTCTTGGGTTGGCAAGAAGCTGGTGACCTTTGTGAGGTCATTGTAGGATGGGGAGGGGCTTATGGTATGAGGTCAGAGGTCAGGTTTCATTTGCAGGTCAAATGTCAGGCTAGGGGTTTTTAGGGAGGGAAGGATGTCAGAGAGTCAGGGGTCAGGGGTCACGCCGGCAATCTTCAAGCTGTGGTTGGGCCGGATGCCAGGCTCCCAAGAACCTCACCTGTGATCCTGGACATCCTCACAGGTTAAAGGGTCTCAGGGACCCAGAGGCCGGCAATACAGTGCGTGGTGGCTGGACAGGCCCTGGGATGGGGTGTGGGCTGGGTCAGAGATAGAGATGCCGCAGAGACACTGTGAGTGCCTCAGAGGCAGAAACAGACTTGGAGAGACATCGGAAAGCACAATAAGAGAGAGATGGAGAGACAGAGAAAGCAGAAGAGATTTCTTCGTGGGAGAGGAAGTCTTTGAGGCTGAAGGGGAGAGACAATAAAGGAACAAGGACAGGAGAGACAGCCCTGCTCCTCCTCCCAGGGTCCCTGCAGCAGCCCCCTGAGCCCAGCGGGGTGGGGCAGGGGCTGGGGGTCCCCGCCGGGTGGGCGTCCCGTGCAGGGCGCAGCCTGGGGAAAGCTAGGAGGCCGTATAGTGATCTCCGTGGGTGTCCTCCTCAACTATACAACCTCCTACCTCAGCCCGGGGGGCGCGGCCAGTGGACAGACAGATGGATGGGGAGACAGACAGGGGCCAGGAGGGCCAGGGAGGGTGGGGAGGGCCGGGGAGGCCCCAGCTGCGATGGTGAGCCCCCGACACGGACCCACAGACACGAGCTTGTGTGCGGCGAAGGCCCCGCAAGGTCGGTTCTACGGGTGGGTGCCAGGACCCAGGAATCCGGGCCCCCGGCCCCCTCCTCCCCAAGGAACCCAGGAATCAGTCCCCTGGCCCGTCCTCAAGGGGGATCCTAGAGTTCAGGCCCCCAGCCCCATCCTCCCCAAGGTCCCCAGAGTCCAGGCCCCAGCCCCTCCTCCCTCAGCCCGGTGAGTCCAGCCAGGCCTGTCTCCCTGGATGCAGGGTCAGAGGGAATCTCACCTGCTTTGGAGTTTGGCCCCTTGGGCAAGAAGGCTCCCTACCCACCTGTCAGATTCGGGAATCCAGGATCAGGCTGAGGCGGGCCAGGGCATAAGAAAGCTTCAAAGCCTCTCTGGGTCTTTCCCCCCTCTCTTATTCCTTGTTCTGGCCTCTCATCATTTATAATGACGACAGCTACGATCCCTGAGCTCCAACACTGCCCCGGGTCCCTGCCATTTCAGCCCAGAGGTCCGGGCGCTATCAGCAGCCCGCCCCCGCCCCCCCGCCCGTTTTGCAGGTGGGCAGGCTGAGCCCGAGAGAGGTGCAGGGACTTGGTCAATGCCAGCCAGTGTTGGCGGGGGAGAGGGGAGGCTTCCCAGGTGGGCGGCACCCAGCACCCACCCTCCCACCCCTGGGCTAAGAGTCTGTGCACCTGGGGGTCTCTCCCTCTGGCCAGTTCTCTGTCTGTCTCGCTCACTGCCCCAGCTGCAGCTCCATCTTTATGGTTCTCTCTCACGTCCTGCGGCCGCCTGGCTGTCTCAGCTTCGGTCTCACCTGGTTCCCACCGCCTCCTGCATCGGCGTGTTTCTCCCTCGGCTCCGCTGTCTTTTTCTTCTCTCTCAGCGCCTTTCTCAGACTCCCGTTTTCTTCTCTCTCTCCCTCTTCTCATGCTTTTTCTTTACCTTCTGTCTTTCTTCCTCCCTCTCTCCTCCTCCCTCCCTCTGTCTTTGTCCCTCTCAATTCTCTTCCCTCAATTTCCCAGTCTCACTCCCTCGCCCTGCTCCCCTCCCCCTTCTCTCCATCTCTCATCTCTGCCTCCTTCTCTCCCTCGGTCTCTGTCTCTCTCCTTTCCTCTCCCTCTTTCTCCTTCCCTCCCTCCTAGGTCTTTCTCCTCCCTTCCCTTCCCCCCCTTCCCTTCTCTCTTGCTGTCTCCCTCCCTTCTCCTTCTCTCTCTCAGTCTTTCTCCTTCCTTCTCTCCCTCCCCCTCGCCGCTCCGAGCCAGGTCTGGAGCTGGGGGTGGGGTGGGGGTGGTTGGAGAAGGGGCCCAGGGCTGGGGTAGCGACCTGCTGAGGAGGGGGAGGAGAGGCGGGAAGGGGGCGGAGGAGGAAAGGGGGAGGCGGGGGCCAGAGACGGGTCTACGGTCCCAGCTCTCATCCCCCTTCCCTCCTTCCCAACCTCCCAGACCCTCCGGCGGGGGCGAGAGTCAGGCCAAGGTGGGGAGGAAGGGGAAGGGAGGAGGCTGCCCCCGCCCCCCCCCCCAACAACCTGGCCCAGAGCCCAGGCCTGGGTTCCCAGCATGCCCCGGGGCTGCCTGGGGCCTGAGGAGGGGGATGAGAGGAGAGAGGAAGCTGAGAATCTTAAAGATTTGTAGGACCTGACCATCTCCCCACTTCCCCAGCAAATTTCTCCTTGGGGAAACTGAGACACAGAGAGAAGGGTCAGGGCTTGTTCAAGGTCACTGGACAAGGCGTTGGTGAATACTGGAACTCCCTGGGCCCAAAGGCCCGATTTGGGGAAGGGGTTGGCGCGGGCCTTCCCCCAGGTCTGGGTCCCCCTCCCCCTCTCTGCAGACCCTGGGGAGCCCCCAAGGGTCAGAGAGCAGACCCAAACAGTCTGGCACCATGGCAACCAGATGGCCCCGCCCCTTAACCCCCGTAGGGATGGACTCCAGCTGGGGCAAAAGAGGAGGTGGGGACTCCTGGGTTCTGGGGAGAAAGGGGCTGGGGGCCCGAACTCTGGGGTCTCGTGGAAGGTGTGGGCCGGAGAGTGGACTCTCAGGTCTGAGAGAAGAGGCCGGGAAGCCAGACTCCTGGGTCCTGGGGTGAAGGGGGCTAGGGGTTCGGGTTCTGGAATTCTGAGGGAGGGGGCTGGGTTGCGGACTCCCAGGTTTCAGGGAGGAGGGGGCTGGGGCCTGGAATCCCAGGTCCCCAAGGGAGCCTGGATGCAGGGCCTCTGCTCCGCCAGACAGCCCCTGCCCCCGCCGCTGACCCTGGCCTGTCTGGCAGCCCAGACAACCTCCCCCCTCCTCCGCGGCCCCCTCCCACTGGCACGGCTCACCCTTGACCCCTCAAAGCCCCGCAGCCTCTTCCCTGCCCCTCCCCCGCCGCTCCAGCCAGACGTTAACCCTTCCGCCACCAGAGGCACCTCCAAAGCCAGACTCTCTCCCCGCACCTACCCCGAGGGCGCGGGCGGGCATCTTGCCCCCTGTCTCGTTCAGCTCGGAGCCTGGCTACCCCAGCCCACGTCTCCTCCAAGTGGAATCCGGGAGGTGTTCCCCGCCCTCTCCTTCTCCGACCCCGGAATCCAGGCCCCCAGTCTCCTCCTCCAAGAATTTGGGAGCTTGCGTCCCCAGCCTGCCCCCGCCCCCACTCCAGGATCTCTGCCACCTCGGCCCCCGGACGCCTCCTCCCTCGGGGACCCCGGAGTCCCGGCCCCAGGGCCCCTCCCCCGCCCCTTCCGCAGACTCACGGCTCCGCGGCTCCCGCGTCGCAGGGATGGGTCTCTCGGGCCCACGGCCGCCGGCTGCTCTCCATCCTCCGCCTGCCTCTGCTGCCCGACGGCCTCTCCCCAGCCTCCGCGTCCCCGCCACCCTCCTCCCTCCTTGCGACTCCCCGGGCGCCTCGGCCCAGCTCCCCGCCCGGGACCCCGCGGCCCAGCCCCCTCCCCAGGGGGCCCCCGCCCCGGCCCCTCCCGCCGCCCTGCCCAGCGCGCCTGGCTTCCCCCTGCCCCGCCGCTGGCCCCGGTCCAGGGGAAAAAATTCCATCCAGCCCGGGAGGAGGAGCGGGCGGGGGAGGGCGCGGGCGGGAGGCCGGCCGGGGAGCGTGACGCAGGGGGGAGGGAAGGGACAAAAGGGGCCGGGAGGCGGCGGGCCCGCGGTGCTCCCGCCGCTCCCTCCCTCCGCCTCCCGCGGTCCGGCCCGTCTCTCCGGGATCGGCGACTCGTTCCCTCCACCGCGCCTGCCTTCCTTCCTCCTCTTGGCCAGTCTCTTTGCCCTGTGCCTGCTGCGCGCTCTCTTTCTCTCTCTCTCTCTCTCTCTCTCTCTCTCTCTCTCTCACACACACACACACACACACACACACACACACACGCACACACACACCCCCCATTACCCCCCGCCTCCCCATCAGGGTCTGCGCCTCTCCCCTCTCTCCCTGCCTCCTGCCCCTCCCTCCCCCGCCGCCGCCGCGATCGCCCCCACCCATCCACCCGCTATGGACTCAAAGGTGAATCAGACCCACAGCTGCCCTTGCAGACAGAGCTTCCAGTCTGCAGGAGGAGACTGACCCAGAGGCAGACAGTTCCAATCCAAGGGTGCTGGGGTACGAGCGAGGGAGAGGCCGGCCGCTGTGGGAGCCCAGGGCGGGAGGCAGCCTTCCAGCTGGAGACAGCCCGAAGGACCCGCGGAGGAGGCAGAGCTTGCTCGTGGCATGACCTCCAGCAACAGGGAGAAGTTAGATCTGAGTGGCCGAGGGAGAGGGCGGCTGTAGGGGCGTTCCAGGCGGAGGGCACAGCTTGAGCAGAAGCCCAGAGGCGGAAACGGGGCCGGTTCTGGGAGAGGAGCGCAGCAGTCAAGGCTGACTGGAGCCTTAGAGGACACGAGCCCGGGAGCGGAGAGACGAGGCCGAGGTGGTGGGCGGGGCTGGATCGGAAGCGCTTGGGAGGCCAGGCTGGGGACTTTTTCCTGAGATTGAACAGGAGCCCAGAGGGTTGTGAGCGAGGGGAGGGGCAGGGGCAGATGTGGGTGTCAGGAAGACCCCGCTGGGCCCCATGGTGGAGGCTGGCAGGCTGGGGAAGAGGATGCCTGAGCTGGGGCTGGGACCCTGGGGATGGGGAGGAGGGGCTGGGGCAGTGAACGTGTGGAGGCCGGAGGGACAGAGCACAGGCAGGCTCTGGGAGGTGACCCGGGGGGAAGGTGTGAAGGAGATAGACCCCCAGGGGACTGGCCCACGATCTGAGGGGATAAGCGTCGTTCTCAGTAGAGAGCCAGGGGGAAGAAGAGGGTGCAGGAGAGGGAAGATGTTATGTACAGGTTGGAACTTAGTGCCCGTTAGGGGCCCAGGGGACATTTAGGGAAGACATTCAGGTGATGGTAGGTATACAGTTCTAGGGCTCCAAC